TTGTTAGAACTCGATAATTATCCTAATTATGTTTTAGATTTTTTATATTTTTAAGTGAGATGTTTATCCCCTATTTGATCATGTTTATCCGCAGTTAGTTACACGAATTCAAACATGGAGCTTTAATAAGTTGTACTTATGTATAATTTACTTGTAATATTGAATTTTAAGTAATATGCATCAATATACAGTACTTCATGCATAAAAATGGTTTTTAAGAGTTTTTGTCAAATGCTTTATAATATAGTATAGATAGGTTACGTGAGAAATGGAACCAACTTTGACTTGATTCTTATTGTAGGGAATGTATTTTCTATGACGTCCATTTTAGGGTTTGAAGCAAATATTTCATTTATTTAAGGATCTCGTTTACCTGTTCAATAGGTAACTAGTTACCATTAAGATGACGTGACAAAAGAAAGAAAAAACTAAAGTTTACGTAATATCCGCGTCGATTTAGTTGGACGATTTTGTCATTTTAAATAAAAGAAAAAATAATCGAAAACATTGAATTTTTAAAAACCCTAAAATGACAGTCGCCCCATTGTCTTAAAATCTTCATCGTCATCTCAAACATCTCATGAGTTATTTCTGTGTTTCTCACTGGCATCTTGTCTACGTCAATTAATGATACATTTCTGTTTTTGACACTAATAGTTCAAGCTAAACTGATGAAGCAAAATTGGTTTCAGAGCATTTAATACATCTATTACATCCACAAATATGTACGAATCTGCGTTTTTACATCCACAAATATGTATGAATCTGATTTGAGTTCTTATATTTTATGCATCTGATTGACATGAGAAATTTGGGTTCGTTTTTGGTTCATGTTCATCTACATCTTAACTTTTGTTCTCAGCTGTTATTCATGTTCATGTACACCAACTGATTCGGTAGTTTTCATATTAATTAGTTTGATGAGATGTAGTTAATGATGTGGATATATTTTTGCCATGTCATTTTAAGGTAACCGTTTACCTGTTGAATAGGTAAATCAGACACTTAAATAAATGAAAATTTCTATATTCCCTAAAATAATGATTTTCAAAGGTTTTTGTTCCCATAATAAAAATCAGAGCAAAGTTGGTTCCATTTAACGCAATTTCTCCTTATGGATATAATTAAAAACTCATTTAAGATCATATATATATATATATATATATATATATAGGGTATATTTTAAATGCAACCATATCCATTTGTACAACCAATTCAACCCAATTAATTGAGATATTTATAGAAATGACGGGAGTTCATTTATTATGGTTTGAATATTTATAGAAGATGAATATGGTTCATTAATTATGATCAATACTTTATATTAAGAAATAATCAAAACTTCTATGAAATCACATATTCATCAAATTAAATGAACGGTTGAGATTGAGTTGTATTGGTTGTACAAATGTAAGGGATTGTATAATAACTCATCTCTCTCTCTCTCTCTCTCTATATATATATATATATATATATATATATATATATATATATACAGAGAGAGGGAGAGAGATAGAGAGGAACGTTCAAATAAAAACCACTCAATTTGTACAAACCGTGAAAACCACATTCAACCAATTATAATTTTTCATTTTGTTCATTTTTTTTGTAATTATGAGAGGTTAATTAACCATTTTTATTGTGGAGGGTGTTAATCATGAATATTATCATTTTCATTATTTTATTTTTAGAGAAATACATGAAACAATTTCATTAAAATTTCATTAAATATTATATGAAACAATTTCATAACCATATATGAAACAAATTCATCAAAAAAAGTATTATATGAAACAATTTCATAACCATATATGAAACAAATTCATCAAAAAAAGTATTATATGAAACAATTTCACAAGATTAAACAATTTTATGAAAAAATTTCGTAAGATTAAACAATGAAATCGACGTATGAGGGTGATTTGTACGGTTTGTACAAATGAGGGTGGTTTTCATTTGATAACTCATATATATATATATATATATATATATACTTGGGATCATGCGAGACCAAGGGTTTTTCGTGGGACCCGTAAGACCAATTTTCAACCATTAGATTAGATCTACAATCTGAACATTCATAATCATAAAATTGCCACGAGACTTCTCAATAATCACAAAATTGCCACCGTGCAACTTTAAACCATTAAATCATTAGCTTATAAAGTTGAT